CCAGTGTACATCCTCTGGTCTAGCCGGCTGTATAAGGTAGAATTGGGATCATGATAGTGGGGCCATTGCTATCGATATGGTGCCCTTTCCTTCAACTGTGCCAGTGCTCCAGTTCAGTTTGCCATTTCTATTCGTCTGGGGCCCTGGCTGATACAATAGTTCTGTGCCAGTCTTTGGGGAATGAATGAATGAAACCATCTCACTTGTTTGTTTTATCACATACAGACAGTAAGCTGCATTCCAGACCATGGATAAGGTTGTTGTAATGCATTCATAAGAAACAGGAGACTTTTAAAGATGAGGTTATGAAACAGGACCCTTAATATAAGTGTACATCAAGATGAACAAGACAGCTCACTGAACTCAGCTGCTGGGCCCTACCACTAGAGATTCTCATTCGGTACACCAGGAGAAATGTGAGATACTTTGCATTTCTGACAAATTTACTGGTACTGCACATAGCCTGGAGACCATACTTGGAGAAGTACTGAATGAGAGAAATTCCAGAGGCTTTTGCTATGTATGAATCTGATCTCATGGTTTTTAAAGATACAAAAGACTTAACTGTCTTTAAAGATACAAAAGACTAACTAAAATATAATCTATGCTTTATTTTATACTTCTCTGATTATTGAAATCTACAATAGAGATTTTTGATTAAAAAAAAAAAGACAGACACATGCAGTGAATAGATTCAATGCCTGGGCTTAGAGGAGTGTGTGCAAGGCCCCATTTGGGAAGGGCTGTACATTCTGTATGGCAAACCTTCAGGTGGCTTTTGGGGTATGGGCCACCCAGGTTCAAATCCAGAGGTTAGGGATAGAAAGGATTTTCTGCCCCACCCCAACTCAGGTTGCACAGGCCTGGTACAACAGAGACACACTTATCAAAGTAAACTAAACATGCCACTAGATGTGTCTCCTCTTTCTGTGTCTTCAGGCTACAGCACTGTGTTCCCTAGACATACACACACACACACCTCACTCACACATGCCCCAAGCCACAGGGAATACCCCTAATGCCCAAGCACATCTAGTTACAGACACACATTTATAACATAATAATTTTGATTTCAGGTGTCCATCCTGGGTTCAGGTGTCAGCTCCAATCAATATATGTGGACAGACCCAGAAAGGAAGCAGAGGAAACATCCTACTGAGGAACTGGGGTTGGGCAAGTTCAGTTAGGGAGGCCCAGACACTAGTTCTGAGAGGTCTTTGAGCTCTGCTCTGCTCCTTAATAGCCAGTCGAGAAGGAAGCAGAGTGCCAACAGGCCAGTCCCCAGGAGGTCTCCCAGTCCTGTAAGGTAGGGAATGCAGTGGCTGTCAGGATCCAGGGTCTGGTGCCAAGTCAGACGAACCATCACTTCTGCCAGGTATAGCAGGATTGTTACCTGGTCATAAGTAAGCAGACACAGAAGAAAACATGTACGATCAGAGTGGATGGTTTAAACCCCAGGTAGCTCTCTTTCTCCAGCGTCTGTTAAGATCTGAGGCTCAGTCCGGAAGCAACATCATCCCTTATCCACACGTTTCTAGGCTCCTTTCTGATGGTAAGGCTTGTTCTTACGCGAGACACACCTGTGCCACTCACAATTCTTGGGTCTCTCTGGCCCAAGACCACACTCGTCTGAGGACCTGGAATCCTAGATCTGGATCTTGCTAGCACTTCACTTTGGAGTTGCTTGAGGAGCTTTCTCTTGCAGCGTTTGGTGGCTGGCCTTTCCTGAAGGTGCCATGAGGCCGCCCATACACCCTGGTCAGGGTTCAGATTTCCTCTGACCCTTGTTCTAGGTGGATCCTGCTTTCCCTTTCTCTTCCTACAGCCATACATATGCTACTCTCAGGGCAGTTTCATGGACTTAGGGGTCCCTAACCCTTCAGGGTGAGAGATATGCTGGGGCTGCAGATGCCAGCCTCCTTAAACTGGAATATTGAAAGTGCCTATCTTTATACTAGCACCGCCCTCATGAAATCAGTAACCAGGACCCACATCTCTGGGACGATTATTTCTATGCTCATCTGGGATATCAGCCAGCTAGAGTCTCTACAGACAGTTTTCTGAAAGCACTCTTCTGATGTAAGCACACAATGTAACCTCCTGCATCATCACCCTCATCACAATCCATCCCAGATAAAAGTCGATGTATGTCTTTTAGCAAGACATCAATAGGGCCCGGTCTCGTCCCATCCTGTGCCTGTGATGCAGAGATGCGCAAAACTCTAATGGACTCTGCTAATTGACTTGTTCCATGAGTGCTTCATGATCATGTGCTGCATCCTCAGAATTATTCTATGAACCTCTGAGAGTATGCAAAGGCTTCAAGTCTAGAACATGCCTTTGGCCTTGAGAAAGTTAACTGGCCTTATTTGAAAAAATAAATAAATCATTTTATTGGGGACTCTTACAGCCTTATAACAATCCATACATCCATTGTATCAAGCACACTTGTACATATGTTGCCATCATCACTGCCTAAACGTCTTCTTTGTACTTGTGATTGAACTCTTGAAAGATGGAACTGTGCATTTCACTCGGGACCAAGAATGTGAAGAGGGCCGCGTTTGCTGACTGAATAGCCATATTCATATTTCCTTTATGATGTAGCCATTCTTACCTGGATCAGACCTGCGAGCAGATACAGCAACACGAAAGTCTTGCTGCTTGTGACGGAGTGACCCTCTACGAGGTAAACCACTAAGAGGAATATCAGATGGCCTGGAATCACCAGGAAGAGCAGAACTCTGGCTGACATGGCATTGGTTTCTGGAAGAAATAAAACAGAGACACCCTCATGACATGCTTGGTAGCCAAGGTCACCTTATGACAGTCTCCAACGGTGCCTCCACATTCACTGATCCATTGATCCTACATACTGACTGAACATCTGCGGTGTGCCAGACGCTCCTTAAACAGACGGGGACTCGGTTCTGTCCCTTCCCTCATGGAACTCACCTATTAGAGATGATAGATAAGCAATAATTGAGTAAGCAGGTTAATACCCCCCCAATATTATGAAGAAAATGAAACAAGGTAATATGATAGAGAATGAGGTATGCATTACTGGGAATAAGCTCTTGGGAACTGGGAGAACTCATCCACCAGATGACAACATTACAGCTGGTGTCTGTGTGGGTCAGGGATGGAGTGAGGAAACTCCAGGTTACTGGTTCTCAACCTTCCTAATACCACAACCCTTCCATACAGTTCCTCATGTTGTGGTAACCCTTCCAATCATAAAATTATTTTCGTTGCTACTTCATAACTGTAATTTTGCTACTGTTATGAATCATAATGTAAATATCTGATATGCAGGATGTATTTTCATTGTTACAAATGGAACATAATTAAAGCATAGTGATTAATCACAAAATCAATATGTAATTACATATTGTGATATATTTATTTCTATTTACAAATAAATGAAATTTTGTCTTGAAGCATGGTGTAGCATGGTTAATTAAGTCTTTTTTTTTTTTTTTTGACCAGTCAAGTGACGCAGTGGAGGTGGAGAAGGAACAAAGGAACCTGTAACTGACTGTGATCATTAGTTGTGACCCCACTGAACAGTCTTAACATAACAGTAAACGACATTGCTACATTTTGCAACAGTATGCGTAAAAAGCCAACGTCAGTGCAAAGGTTGAGATAGCTTCTTTCTCACCAGATCAGAAATTTTCGGGGCAGTCTTTGCAAGAGCACAATGAAGATCATCTTCCACAATGTCTTCTTCTGTATTTAGATTTGATAACCAACAAGCTGGAAAATCCTGTTTCACAAAGAGATGCTGTTGGAAATGGAAGAAGGCGCAACATTGTCTCAGACAGAACAGGATATGACTGCAAACACTTGATCCAGAATTTTGTAACTGGCATGGTAGAGAAATCAGTTCTTGCTGGATTGCTGTTAATAAGTTCAATGAACTCCTCTAGTGCTGTCTCAGGAACATCTTCAACATTGACTGTGAATGGGCTTCTGGCATGTGCAACGAGGGTATCAGGTAGATTTGGAAAGTACGATGAAATTTTATCTACATGTGCAAGTGTTCTTTCACAGAAATTATCATCGTAATCCTGTTGTCTGGTTCAATGTCATGTTCCTCAAAGATAGCAGATAAGGTAGGCAACATGTAAATTTTATTTTCATCCATTTTTTTGTTGTTGTTGCCAAAGCTAAAGTTTTATTTGGAACGATCGGATCTTTTCAGACAAATCAAGACATGTTGCATTAGGTTCTTGCAGTGGTATTCAAGATGGCAAAGATGTCAACCAAGTAAGCTATTTTCTCAGTTCACTTTGATTGCTGAAAAATGCTTCGAACTGCATGTGGTCTTGCTTTTTGATTAAAAGATGTTTTGAGTTCATCACGAAGCTCAAAAACACACTTAAAACTTTTCCTCTTGACAACCCTCTCACTTCAGTGTGAAATAGCAGAGCATTATTCAGCGCATCCAATTCATTGCAGTTGTGAAAACAGTCAACTGTTTAAAGTGCTCGCCTTTACAAAATTTCTTGTAAGTCTTGTGGCAGCGTCTTCGTTACTAATGTTTGCCGATGAATCCCTACAGTGAATTCCAATGATTTTTGGTGACTCATTCAGTACAAAATGTTGAAATACAGATTGACATCCTAGCATAGCTGCAGCACCATCTGTGCAAACACTACAAACCTTTTCCTAAGAGATCTTGTGCTCTTTCAGAAGTGAACCAACTGTGTCAAATACATCAGGTGCAGTAGTTGTCATTTCAAGAGGTTTGCAAAAAAGAAACTCATCTTTAAAGTCACCATCATTAATATACCTCACGTAAACCAGTCACTGTGAACAGTTTGCAATGCCTATAGATTCATCAAGATGGATGCTAAATATTGGAAGTTGAGCAGATTTAATTTTCTGGATTATCTGATCAAGAATATCAGCAGACATGTCATCTATTCTTCTGAGGGCAGTGTCATTAGATAAGGGAATTGCACTCAATTTTGTAACAAATTCGTCTCCGATCATAACTAGAACAATGACTTTGGCCGCTGGCAAGAGTAAATCCTCAGCAATGGTCTGAGGTTTCATAGCTCTGGCATTCTGAGTGCCACCAAATATGAAGCTTCAATGATTACTATGTTTTTTGTGTGGTACTTGTCACCAGTGTCATATCTGGCTTTCTTGAGTCCATCAGTTTTGCTTCTAAAATAGTTGGTGTCCTTGACGGCAAAGCTTGGATGCTCGCTTTCAAAATGGCATTTTAGTTTGTTTGGCTTTGCAGATTCGGCTGGTAGAACTTCACAACAAAACCACATTGTGGTTTCTCACTTCCTGCTGTAATTATTGAGGTAAAACCATACTGTAAAAAATCCTCACTATATTTTCTTTTTTTAACGTTTTTCTCTATATGATCCATTGTTATGGGATGGTTTGCTAACGAAAATAATATATAACAATAGCTTTAATAATACAAAAGATGATACATGGCATAGTCAATGCAGTTCATTAAAGTTTCCTATGATTTACCATGCTAGTTTTTTTTTTTTTACATACCTGTTACTATCACAAGGGGGCAGTATTCATATCAACCACAGCTGAATATAAAAAGACCTATCAGCATCCAGATTAAGTTCCCATGGTACATATTATTATTATTTTTTTAAATCATTCTATTGGGGCCAGATTATTTTTTTGTTGTTGCAGTAGTTGATGATTTTACAGTACATGATTTTACACTTACCCAGTAATTACAATTCATGAAGTGTCGTTTTACCTCCAATACCACTGCTTTCAACACAGCAGCTGCTTTCTACACAGTAGCTGCTCTCGACACATGTGTGACTGGTCCGCATAAGTACATTATGGTTCCAACCCTGTCACTTACACCTGTATTTGTACAGGATGTATGTGATGGGGCCGGCCTGATGATGTCATCACGCCGGAAACTCATATGTCAGTGTATCTGCATGTGGGTGGACTAACCTGGAGACGGACAGAGTGGTGTCTCGGTTCCTAAGACCATCAGAAATATGTGTTTTCTGATGGTCTTAGGTGATCCCTGTGAAAGGGTCATTCGACCCACACAGGTTGAGAACCGCTGCTCTAGGTAGAAGAAAGATAACGTGTAAGAGGCTTAGGAGCCTAGGAACAAGGAAGAAGAAAGGCTTGAGTGTGAGCAGCTAGTGATCCATGAAGAGACACAATGAGGTAGGATGTGCAGTGCAGATTGGGGTTGAGACTGCTAATATGTCGAGAATCACTTGGAAATTTTAAGCAGAAAATGACATGTATACTTTAAAAAGAGCACTCTGGCTACTATGTGAATTGAAAGGGGCAAGGATGGATCCAAGGAGAAGTAGAGACCATTGGTGTAGACTGAAAGAGATAGCAGTGAAAACAGTGGGTTGATAAGATTTGGAGGAGAGAGTAAACAGGACTTTTTTAGGGCCTGGACATAGGGAGTGAGGGAAAGAAAGATCAATGATCACTTATATCTTTGGAGGCAACGAGCCAGTCAGTGCAGTATTGCACCGAAGAAACATACAACTTTCCTCTA